AAAAAAAAAAAAAAAAAAAAAAAAAAAAAAAAAAAAAAAAAAAAAAAAAAAATATCGCGCAGAGCACTGCTGAGGTCTAGTTACTTATCCACGGGAATCTTTTACTGTATTCCACTGTTTGAGCGATTCTAGATGCCGATCTAGAATGTGAATTGCCTATAAACCGATCATGCGCATATCTTGTATGGCAACAGCCTGAGGTTGTCTATTCGGACTTTCTTTAGTTCAAAAAATATATATTTTTTTCTTTCACAGCATACATCAGGAAAACTAGTTTATTTTTCATCAATTTGTTCAAATAAAAAATATACTATCAGAAGCTTGTCTTTTTTAAATTTATGCACCTACAAGTGTTCACGAAGCATCGTCAAGAGAGAAGTATCTTTGTTACAAGGGTATCCTATCATAAAAAATTATCTTTCCTACTTTGGCCAACGCATCACTCCTTGCAACCTTTCAATATTCAAAAAGTCAGAGAGGTTTTTCGAAAAAATTAAAAAAAAAAAAAAACAAAAAAAAAGTAATCTTGTTATGTTTTTTCTCTCTCTCTCTCGAAATCATTCCGCTCGATTCGGCACTTGGAAAGCAATAGATTAGCAAATCCTCTTTTCAATGGGTACTCGTCCGTCTTTTTTTCCTAATTCAATAAACACATGGCACTTTTCACTAGCACGTATATACTTTGCACTGCTCGCAGACGCGCTTTCAATAATCCACGAATTGATCCGCACACCTGAGGCTTCCCCTGGATCGATAAGCTCGAGCTTATTAATGTCCTGTCCGGGAGTGGGGTGTAAAAAAAAAGGTGTCAGACCGTCTGCAAGGCTCCCCTGGGATATTTAAATGCTCGCGAGCATCGCTATACAGTCGAGCGACCCGACTCTTGTAGGGATTCCAAATCGGATTGGAAAAAATTTTGCCCATTCATATCGGACGGAAAAGCGGAGGAATCAAGGTAGAGAAGATTTATTCTCTTGTCTGACGGATGGTTTGTTTCTTTTCCACTTTAAAAGGAGCCTCTCTCGCCAGCGCGTCAGGGATTAATTAAAAATAATGGCACCAGACAACCGGAGAACCCTAGCCCTTTCCGCTCAGTTTTTATCCTCCACCCGACTCCCCCCCCCCATTTTTCTTTCTCTACTGCGAGCAGGGGAAAAAAAGAGGACAGTGCTTAATTTACAAAAACCTTCCCAAGAATATTTTATGCCCTTCTTTTTTTTTTTTTTTTTTTTTTTTTTTTTTTGTCGTGGATAATCGGTGTGTCGTTCGAGATGCTTTGACTTTGTCGGATGGCATTGAGAAGATATTTCCGAGTTTACCGAAGGAAAAAAAAGCAAAATCATATTTAATTTTAAAATTTTCTTACGAATAGACCACACCACTCGTCGAAATTCAAGGAAGAACAATAATTGCGTGCAGTTGACGCGTGTCAGCTAGTACGAGGGGCGAAAATAGAGGCGAAGTATATTCGCCGCCTCGACGGGAGACTGCCCCCTTTGGATCTTGGAAAGTCGACGCTCCAATTACCCGAGAAATTCGTTAAAATGCGCCTGTTGCAAATCCGTTTTAATTATGAAAAAAAAAAAAAAAAAAAAAAAAATGTTAACAGTGCGATGCGCTCCTTTTGACGATGGTTTTCGTGAATATACATTGGACACGTGCCAAATACATTCCTCTCGTCCATGTACAACCTCAGGCTCATGCTGATAACGTTGCCTTGAAAAAAAAAGAAAAGAGAGGCAATCACTTACAGGCTTTTCCTTATGATGGATAAAAATGCAGAAGCGGGGCGCCGTTGCGTGCGAAGGGGAAAAAATAGTATACTGTAAACCACAGCAAGTAATTCCAAAAATATTTACGAGACGACGATGGCTCATCACTCCTATCTTTGACAGAGGAACACAGTATATACATAGACCGGGAGGATGGTGATAACATTTTTTATCAAAAGTGCTCACACACACACACATGTATACCGGCTCTGCCACTTGTTCATCACTCACTCGCTCGAAACATCTACTACATGAATATGTGCTTTGTATAGTTTAACAAAATAAAACATTGAAAAGAAAAAAAAATCAAAAACATTAAAATTGTCGTTCTTTCTTTCTTTCTTTCTTCCTTGTATCGATTCTTGTCCACTAAAAAAAAAAAAAAAAAAAAAAAAAAAAAAAAAAAAACTGACGGAGAAATCGTGTGAATCCAGCTGCTGAAGGGTTACCAAGCGGTGAAGCGTTGATTAATCGATGGTTACGTCCCGTGTGACATTCCCTACGCTTAATCGACATCTTGCATATTGCAGGCTGAACAAGATCGGCAAGAATCCAAATTTGGTGACGCATCGCGAGGAGGATCTTGGCAGCGAGTCAAAAACGATAAACGCCGTAGTGAACGCCCTGGCGGAACAGGCGGCCCACGCCACCGCCAGCGAGGAATCGGTAATTATGAGACGACGACGCGCGCAATCATCCATCCACGTTACCTGATGTGTACCCTTACACCCTCGACACAGAAACGACGACCAAGACCTGTCAATTTTTTTTTTTTTTTTTTTTTTTTGACGTAAGGACGATGACGCGTTCCTGTCCTTTTTCATGATTAGTTGTTACCCCGCTTGAAACCCTCCTCTTCAAAACGAGACGGTTGACAATACAATCCAACGAAATGGACCAATTTACGCAATTTCTCTCGGAACGAGTCAAATGGACTTTGTTTTCTGGAAAATCCCTCTTGAAAAACAGAGTGTCCTGTTTTATGGTCCGACAATTGCTTACGCGCACGCACGATGAACGTGATTGACTAAAAAAATTTAGAAAAACATTATTGCACTGGTGAAGGATGACAAAAAGTAGTGTTTTTGTGAAAAAAAAAAAAAAAAAAAAAAAAAAAAAAAAAAAAAAAAAAAAAAAAAAAAAGAATCACATGAAATTGGAGAGGGAAAAACGAAGCAACAATTGTACGTTATCAATAAATTAATTTATATTTTTCATAGAGCATCTATCAGGTATACAACGTATCTGTATCAAAAGTATTTAAGCGTTTCTTTGTGTCATAATAATGACGCGTCTAATATAATACTTACTCGCATGGCTCGCACGTACAGAGGTAATAATAATACTTCAGCAAGAGTACACCTATATATTAAATATTTCGTATCACGTATGATTAATGATATCATACATAGCACCGTATAACGCGTTCGTCGATGAAATGATGGTTCGATCGCAACGTCGGATCCTTAAAACTGCCACTTTTTAGCATAACGTAAAGCATCGAAAAAACAACTTTGCTTTTTTTCTTTAAAAAATATAAGTAATAATAATAAAAATAATAAAAAAAAGTGGGAGTGAAAAAAGTACAGCAACTAACTAGTCAAGGAATAAGCAGGTCCGTCTTGATTCTGGCGCGTTGGAGCTTGACCGCGTCGGTGCAGCTCAGGTAGAGCTTGAGCTCGTTGCGCAGCACCTCGGCAGCTTCGTCCATGGCCTGTTGCTTTTCAACGTCTATCATCTCGGGAAAGTCCATGCGCAGCAACTGTACCACCACCGACAGTTGAGCCTCGGATCTGAGGGATGGAGGTTGTTTTTTCAACAGAGCGCACACATTTTTCTTTCATTGCTTCCCTCTTTACAAGCGACGCTACAAACCGCTTACCTCGCCGATAACAAGACCCTGACATCGCCGTCCTCGTCAGCGGGCAGGACCTCGAGCACGCAGTACTGCAACGATCCGGTGTTCCTCACGACGCAGACCTTGCAGATCTCCTTGAAGGCGTACTTTCCCAGGAACTTCATCAGCCGCTTGCCGATGCTCGAGTCCTGATGCCACGGCAGCAGGATAACTCGGTCTACCGATATAGCCTGAGAAAAAGTTTTGAAAAATAAAAACAAAACTCTAAGGTGGCTCCAGTGGCCTCGATGTTAAAATTATAAATAACCCAACCGAGGTTAATAAAATTGAATTATATTCTTTGAATTCCCATCTTTCTATTCGTATAAAAAAAAATTAGGGTTGACGATGAAAATTGTAAGAAATCATGCTTACAAAATCGTAGTTTTAAGACGGGTTAGATAGGAAATGCAAGCTTACGCGATATACAACCTACTGCTGCACTTTTATAAATAACTCGAGGTGTAAAAAATATACTATCTTGCATATATTATTACGCAGTTTTCGATGACATGAGAAAAGTGTCTTGTTATCGAACAAAATCTTTAAAAAATCGGAGACTAAGTATACAGTTGCGAGTGCAAGTCAGCTCTCAGCTGTCTGCATTCTGCAGAGTACATATATATAGGTATAACTACTCTTGAACTTAGGAGCGTACCGTAACAGTTCATCAATTAGGGCACCATAAAACTTTTTTGTTTTTTTATATTAACTCACTAAAGTAACAGATAAAATGTAGAATATGGCTTACAACAGTCTCTACGATAATTTTATACCANCCGCGCGCCTGCATCTGACGGATATCCGATAGCTGAGTTGGCTCTTTGCTTGCAGCTTACGGATGCGTATGTGTGTGTGTGTATATACGGATACCTTGATTATCCTGTTGACGTAACGCCTCGTGTAATTAGTGTTGGCGGAGTCCAAGTCTCGAGCGCGAGAATATAAATAAACGATGATAAAAGACGGGGCATTAAAACCTATCCATATAGATGTTTATTTAATTGTAATGAAAAATTAGTTTTTTTTATTTTTTTAACTCATGAAAACAGATTACAGTGAAACAAATTTAAAATCATCGGTCCTAACGATAAGAGTTGTAGGTAAGTATACTTTAAAAAGTACTGAAACTTGAAGGAAAATTTGTATTTTGTATGGGCACCCTCTCGTTGATAAAACAATGTCCTCATGCATTTGTTTGTTGATTTATTCATTGGTTGTAAAATGACACAAACCCTACTTTTATAAAAAAAAAAAAATAAGCAAATCAGTATCAGTATACAATTCATTTGGATTCCGTATGATTATACATGTGCACATATATGAGAACAAAAACAAAAACTTTAATCACGAGATCCCGGTAAATTCAAGTATGTTATCCGTATACGTTTAAAGTGTGGATTTCTTTTTTTTTACTAGATGCTTTGCAATTGTGTTGATAAGAATTTTCAGAAAACCCAAATCATGAATGTTCATCAGGACGACTACAATGTATTTGATAAAAAACAGGGATTTCGACTGCACTTCAATACACTTGTGTTTAACAGTGATGTGGTACTTTCGGCGTCTTCTACATGTATAAAAATAATTTACCGATAAACCATCGATTCAACCTCTAGAAAAAAAAAAAAAAAAAAAAAAAAAAAAAAACATGTTTCCCGGAGCACCGCACATATACGTGGACAATCACCTTGAGCGCGAGTATACTGAACTGCGCTTCGTCGGGATCCTCGAGATCGACGGCGCAAGTACCGTCAACCGTCTGGTGGACGGTGAGCTCGACGTTGGGTACCGGCGTCTGGAAGAGCTTGTCGTCGAATTGACAGAACACGGTGCCTTGGGCCTCGAGCCGAGCCCCCGCATCGAAACTCGGCAGGTCGAGCACAGCCGTGGCGACCAGCTGCTCCTCCGAGTCTATCTCCTCGGTCGGGTACCAGAAGGTGTCGTCGACCAGCGTCCAGAAGACCGAGACCCCGTGACTGTCGTCCTCGCGGTTCTTCAAGCTTACGTATATCGTCAGATCCCTCAGGGTACTGCGGACACATAAAAAAAAAAAAAAAAGTTTTGTTTTTTTTGCCCGTGAGAAAAAATAGATAAGCAGTGCCGCAATGGTCGGAGATGCGGGGAAAGGAAGCACGTGAACGCCCGTATGGGCGATAAGAAGTCATACACGCCCAGGAGCTGCTGTAAAGATACGATTATCGTTTGGACCTTTTTTTTTTCAAGCAGCTTAGGGTAAGTCCTTTGCCATCGTGCGGAACTAAGGGTGGGTGGATTCTTGGGATTTCGGTCGTGAATGACGAAGCTGCGTGAAAAAAGAGAGTGGTTTTTTCGTACTTTTTTTCTTTTTTCGACAGATGTTTCGCCAAGACTCCTTTGCAATGCACACATAAGGCAAAGTTATTCAAAGAGAATGCATATTCTAAATCAGCAAATGAAATTAATTTTCTTATCTTTTTTTATGATAATAAGGAAGGGTTAAATTTCATAAAATCTGGAGGATGCTGCGGACATGCGTTATCGAGAACTACGTGTTACCACACCCAGTTTGCTTGGAGGGGGAATAAAAAAAATTCAATCTCGTACTCCCGGAAGTAACATTGTTTGCGTGTGTCGTAAATGATTCCACAAAGATGAGCTGAAAAAAAGACCGGGGCAAATGGAAAAAGCGCAAAACTTTCATCATGTGCACACGTGAAATAACGAACAAAAGAGCCATCACCGTAAAATCACTGGCTTTTCCTCTGGGGGAAAAAAAAAAGAAATCACTACTGGAAAACAAGCGTATCTCGTAGATTGCGTTGTGCCTGTATGCTTGTCGTTTTCATGCTTCTTACCCAGCATAATCGGCAGGTAATAATGATATGATCGTTTCCTGGGTGCAATTGATACACCAATAGTTATTATTCCCACTTGGCATGATGACTCCTCTATTACGTAGAAATGAAAGTACATTCAGCACCGTGAATAAGCTTTCCAATTTAATTGTTCACAAAGAGTAGAAAATTGGATTTAAAAAAAAGGGGGGGGGGGCTCTCCGTATAAAGTTGGCCGAGACTTTGCACGTGTATCCACCTACACGTAAGTTGACGGATCGAGTACTCCCGGAACCTTATTTCGCGCAAAATCAACAAAATGAAGAGCTATCCTTCAAGTTGCGTGCACACAGGCTACTCCTGTCAGTGCGAAATTCCATCATCCATCTAGTATAGGAAGGAAAAAAAAGCATACGCATTCATCGTCAAGCCCGCGCCCGTGAACATTGACCGGACAACCCGACACCAGCAAAAATCGGAAAAAAAAGCGAGACAAAAGCCACGCATCCGTGCATTTGTCAGTCAAAAAGAGACGCGTGCCCTTTCTCTTTGTATATATATACGAACGCGGAGGCATTAACCAGCGACGCGCCCACCACCGGTCGTATGGGCTCATCATCCCCACGCCCTTCTCCCCCTATTTGTTTCCCGTGTAGATCCTTTCTTCAACGGTCGCATGTACTCATCGATAAAATCGAGAGGCTTTTTTCTTTGCATCGGTGTAAACGCCCATCGCCCACATCTCAAACGCGACAATCGAGCGCCCCCTTCAATGTGTGTTTGCGAAAAAAGTGAAAAAACAAAAGTATATGTATACTGTTTCCTTCCCCAAAGACAAGCACGCGTTTGCACACCCAATTTCAATTTCTCTCTTTTCGAGAGCGATAAATTTTGCGAGGGGAAAAAAAAAACCCCGTTTCTATACTCCTCTCCTACGCGGCACAATCGTGACGAAAGAGCCGTCGCCCACTATACGAGACATCATCAAGGAGTTTTACGGGTGGAAGACAGGGATTCCGAAAATAAGTATATACTATGAGGAGCGCGTTTTGACTCCATACGACTCATCTATTATGAAGGTCTGAATTACTTTTATACAAATGGATACACAATATGTACAATGTACCGGAGTGAATTTTCTTTTTTTTTTTTTTTTTTTTTCCCTCAATCGGTTCAGTAAGAAATCCGAGTCTACATGATGTCCGTGACTCGGGCTTTACCCATTATATACGGGTGGACAGCGCAACCTTTCAAGTGCGTGCTCGTACACATATGATATCGCGTAACTGCATCTTTTAGGGGGGAGGGGTTGTTGTACAAAAACACATACGCGAGAGAGTCACTCATCGAGGCGGACAATCGAGATAAAGCGTCTCTTTTTGGAAAATCGTGCCGTCGAGATATCGGTGGATTCCGAAGAAAAAAAAAAAAAAGAAAAAAAATTCAACGCCAATGGAAAACTCTGTGCAAACAAAGCCCCCGGTCCACGGCTCATCTATTATTGTGACTCTCGCGCGTATGCGACAGAGAAGGAAAACAACCGGCAGTACATATATACGTATATCAGCCTCGACGACGCCTATGGACCATCTTTACTAATGTATACGGGCCGTGTCGTGTGTACACACACCACGTGCACGCGGAGGGTAAAGTCTCGTGCGCTTGCGCCGAGGCTCGCCAAGCTTGCACCCCCGCCAGATCGACCCGAGGGGGGAAAAGAAAAAGAGCCTACCTCCTGCAGCATCTTTCCCAAGAAGGTTTACGACTGATGAAACGAGGATAAATTCACGTATACGATGCATCTTTTTTTTTTTTTTGTTTTTTTTTGTTCCCACATTCGGGTAACCGAGGTAAGGTGTATATCAAAAAGGGCGCAGAACGAAGACTCGCGTCGCTCGGTGCACTTGAAAAATCGCGGACGATTAATGATATTCACTGAGCTTGGCAAAGAGGAGAGGATGCTCCCTAGGTTAAAAAAAAAAAAAAAAAACAGGAAAAAGAGACAACTAGGGAGGAAAATATGCAGAAGAAAAGAAAAAAAATAGAGATGATGCACGAACGAGGAAGCGCGACAAGAGCCTGCGGAGAGCATATGTATACATATACCGTTGCGCCGGCTTCTTGAATGATTTTATCAATCGGCCGAGACCTTCGACCGGAAGACGAATAGAAGGGGAACATTGGACGAAGAGCAAAAAAACATTCCCGCTACGAGAGCGAGCAAACCGGAGCGAACTATAGTGACACCTAATCGAAACATGAATAAGACAACGTAATGCGACTTGTATAAGTACATCCCCCGCAGTTGTTCATCATCGGACGCGACGATCCACTGGCTCTCCTGTAATAAGTATATACGTACATACAAATAAGATTCATATATAACGTTTGGTGGAACGAATCGCGCGCGCGCGCGAGCGAGGCAAAAGGGACGGAAGAGGGAGCGTCGGAGCGGCGTTGGCGAGCGCCGGCGTCCTCTCGGCAGTCATCCGTACGATGCCGCCGCGGTACTTGTACCCAAACCATCCACAGCCGCAGCAGCTGATTTCGCGTTGAGTTTGCAGGCTCTACATATACGGTACATCGGCGTAACAACACCCTCAATCCAGTGGACCACGTTTTCTTTCATATACATCGTCTCGTAGGCTCCCGCGGGGGGTTGCGTGCACTACAAGCTTCGTTTCGGGGAGGGGGGGTTGGTGCAGCTGCTGCTGTTGTCGTTGGTTAGATCTGGTTGTCGGTGAGAGAAGAGAAGGAAGGGGTGGGTGGGAGGTGGAGACGAGAGCTCTGTTTGTTGTTTTTGGGGCTTCTTGTGCACCGGGGTAGTAGGGGGTCGTGAGGTTATTTGCTGTACGATACACCCACTGCGAGTCCCGTGGCTGTTGTTACTGTTGCCGGGTCCATGAGGCTGTAGCGAGGAGTGGCGTCGCATGCCCGGTGGAGGTAAGTTGTTAATACACATTTATATTATGTATATATATATTCTTTTTTTTTCTTCTTTCCTTCGTGTGGAGGATGTAAGACATGATGGGAGGTTAAGTATCGATACGTCAGGGCTTCACTTGTCAGTGATCGATGATTCATGACTGAAAAGCTCGAGGTCAACACTTGAGTTGGATCATTTTTAATTCACAAATATTGTTTTGTTTGTTTATTCAAAATTTCGCTGTATGTAGATGAATTTACATTCAATGAGTTGTTTTTACTGTAACTAAAAAAATTATCATTCATATACATGCGAAGGAAATTCGAAGGATATCATTTCCGTACGAGATTTGTGATTAAAAAAGTCGAACTTTCAATTTTTTTGGTGAGATGCCAGATGAATGTGTAATACGCCTAAAGGGATTTTTTTTTTCTTTGCCAATTGAAAAATGTATAAGCTTGTAACCCTTTTAGACCACTGTTTAGTCGAATATAATCAGCCGGGCATTGAATACTAGAGTATACTTATAGGGGATAGAGGATATTATAAACTGGATCGGTTGAATACGAGTGTAGAAAGAACCAACATATTTTTAGTAAGAAAGAAAATGAGAAAAGAAAAATTTTCAATCGTAGGATCAATCGAAGGGATGAGGGCGTACCCCAATTTTCAGCAGTGTGTGTCTCTAATAGTTTAATAGGTGCATCGGCATGTTAATCATGAAAAAAAAAAAAAAAAACAATAAATAAATAAAATAAGTAAACATTTGTAAAGCATAAATGTATGCAAGAAGGAATATTTTCTTTGCACCTTGGGTCACTCTTAATTTATATTACATCGGTTAGTCTATCCAACACTAAAAAATGAATTCTTAAATAAAAAAAAGAAAGAAAGAAAACACTTGCAATGAAAAATACAACAATTATATAATAATTTTCTACGTGTTTTCGGTGCTTCCAAGAAAGCGAGGAGGAAGAAGAGAAGTAGAGTATTGCATCACAAAGCCGAGAGGAGGGGGGAAGGGGTCGAGAAACGAGAGCTTTTCGGGTTTCTCGTTCCTCGCGCGGTGGTGGCCCTTTGCCAAATACCGTGCCAATCCGTTGGGGTTGACAATTCATTTTGCACCGGTGAATCCGAGCGCTGGTACACATCATCATCCGATTATAAATAAATTTTCGAGGAACAAAATCATTCGACATTATTTATTTTCAACGAATTAAAAATTTATTTGTTCAAGTTGCGGTGTCATTGTTTGAGGGCTTGATGATACACCGTTTTGCCGATATTTTAAAGTTGGACTTTCCCGATTGAGTTACACTTTTAATAGAGTATCGATAAGTACTCCAACCATTTTCTCCAAAAAACTAATAATTAATAAAATATTTTACAATCAAGTATGGAAAAATTAATAGATCTTTGATACATGTTTTCAAAATTACAGTATACCAAGCAAACATGGTGCGAATAAAAAAAAACACGGAGCTATTTTCCGAGATTACAGATCAATGTTTTGCACGATGATCTTGGTATAAAAGATAACCAAGTATATATTACCCAATCGATGCTGCATTGTAAAGTTTCGCAAGAGAGATTAGTTCTCTTTTTCTTCAAGCATAATTTCTCGCCCCCCCCCCCCCTCGGCACTTGGATTGAATTTCCATTGACATCCAATTTCGCGGAGGCAAAACAATAAAGTAAAAAAAGGATAAGTAGTCGCGGATGATTTATAAACATCTTTTCGAAGGGTCGATAATTGCCTCTCGCCTTGCGAAAGCTCCTCGGAAAGTAAGTACGAGCGGCAAAGTAAAAACAAGCTCCGCGCGCCTGCATCTGACGGATATCCGATAGCTGAGTTGGCTCTTTGCTTGCAGCTTACGGATGCGTATGTGTGTGTGTGTATATACGGATACCTTGATTATCCTGTTGACGTAACGCCTCGTGTAATTAGTGTTGGCGGAGTCCAAGTCTCGAGCGCGAGAATATAAATAAACGAGGATAAAAGACGGGGCATTAAAACCTATCCAGGGAATCGAGTGTAGTTGTAAAACGACCGTCAATTTTATACGTGCTCATCCGTTGAAGCAGTATGGAAAAAAAGAGGATTTTCGCTTACATAAGTCTGCAGTGGTGCCGTTACGTATACATAGAAAGAGATATAGGCCGGTGCGTACGTGGAAGTAGGAAAGTGCCATTTTTAATGCTGATCGAGGCCGATCGTCATGGGATAATGGACGGATGTGTGATTTACATTCCTTCTGAAATCACGAATATCACGTGCGGGTGAATAAAGTAAATTAACATCGGCATGCGACATTTACATACTTTTATTAGGGGTCGAATAAAAACATATATACTTTTCAAAGTATTTTTTATAAAAAAAAAAGTTTAAGCAAAATAAGTATTTTAAAGATGTATGTGCGTAAGTATCCTTGTATTTTTACGGGTCAATTAAATCAAGATGAATTCTCCCTCATCGCACTGCTGTAATTTTTACGTGTGCAAGAAACATTTCCCTCGACGTATACAAGTGATCGACAGGAACGAAATTACCAGAGTGGTAAAAAAAAATAGAGTACGGTTTTCCCACTTCGCCCGAAAAGAAAAAAAAAAAAATACATCGAGTCATCGGTTGAAAGGTTCAACAAAATTAAAAGTAACGAGGGGAAGAAGAAAAGAAAAAAAAAGTAATAGCACATACTACACTGTTACCGAGGGTCCGGGAAATCGGCATCCAAGTGGCTCCCTTTCTTTCACCGGCCCCTTTCCCCTCCTGCAACCCCTGATCGAATGAAAACGACCCTTACCAACCACCCTCGCACACCGTATACTATATACACACTCGCCCATCACCTATTTGATTAACCTCCGTCTTTACGTCTCACGGGAGAGAAAACTTGAACGCCAGTTTTTTTTTTCCACCCCCGAGGCTACAAGGGGGTGTACATCAGGAGGCGCGTGAAATTGAATCCTATTAGTGGCTGATTTTATCTCGAAGTGATAGAGGCATCGTGTCTCTTGATTTGATGAGAGGTAACTGGTGTATGCCAAGGTACAACACGACCTCGTGCCAAAGGGGGAGGGGTGTGCATGACTGACGCGGCTGATTGAATTAAAATCTACGAACCTTTTTCAAAACCTTAAAAAAAATATTTTCGATTTCATGATGAAATTTCTTAAATCCCCGGTACGGATAAAGTGGTCGTCCAACGCCAATGGACCCGAAAAACAACGTTCCATCATAAAAAAAGAGCGATCCTCGCTAGCCTCAAGTGTACCCGCTCGTAGATTCAGGCGCGCATGAATGTCAGAGTAACTGTACAGCCGCGTTGGTATAAGCGTAACCCGCTTATCAAAGACCCTCTCTCCACACGCGCAAACACACACCACCGATTGACGGCCAATTTCACGCCATGACTCCTCAACAATTGCCACGCTTCGTGTGCATGTGTACACATGTATACGTATATATATATATTGCATCGCATGCATAAGCACCGCATATCTCGTTGTTACACTTGACTCATTCGCAAAACAAAACTCCATTATCCAAGTCTCGGTGAACGACAACACCTGCCACGTTCTTGCACCCAAACGAGCTTGGGTGTACGATATTATCGCGCTCGAACGAGGCTGCTTTCGATAGAATAGGGGTATGGTTTTATTATGGCAGGTGATGTACGTGCCCCACCCGTACAACAGCCAATTTAACCTTCCGTAACAGCTTTAGCCAACAAAAGTGCATGCCACGAATTTACCAAATCTAACATTTTTTCGTCGGTCGTTGGCGTCTCTCTTCAAAGTATGTAATAAGTCGCAGTGAATCCTTGAAAAAAAATGAAAAAAAAAAGTACATCAGCGCTGTATACTATTGGAACTGGTACAGATGCAATGCAACTACCATAGAAACACGAGTTTTAATTAAGGGAATCTCTTGAGTTATAATTATGTACGCATGTAAAAACTATGCGCCCAAGCGATCGATTGTACTCCATTGGTCCGGTGACACATGAGACTCCCGAGCTACAACCACCGTGCACCCCGTGGCACTTGTAGCATTCGATCGTCTCATTATACTCCTACTGTGAAGCGACGAAACTAATTTATGCCATTCGATATTGGTGAGCCAGTAGATACGCGTTGGTTGTTCTTGGCGATTTAAAAAAAATATTTTTACAAGAATCAATTAATCGTGCATCGATGTGTTGGTACGTAAAACTTTTTTAATCAAATCAAGGGTGCGAGGTAGGATGTGCGATAAACTTTCACCCGCCATCGCTGGACCGTATAGGGATGACAAACCCGCGTTTTAAATTAATTTATTAAACGTATCGATTATACTTTTGTATAAAAAAAAAAAAAAAAAAAAAATAGAAGAAAAAAAAGCACTCTTCCATCAATCGTCATTAAATTAAATACGAAGAGATTGGCATTGCGTTAAATTAGCACCCAATGCAAACGAAACCCTGCCAATTTAGCACGAGCATTCAGCACTCGGTATATCGCTATGGGCATCATGCAGCCACTCAGCTCGTTAGCTACCTCAAATCGGTGGGTAATTAAGCCCCGTCATCGCGAACCCGCACTGTGCATATCCTCGAGCGACGGTTCGCTCAGTAATCGATGAACTTTTCATTGAAAAATTCCAATCTGACCTACTTTAATTTTTTTTTTCCTCAACCCAAAATAAAAGCTACCGCGAAAAACGAAGGGGCGAATGTTCAGGGCTTACCTACCGTTCGGCCTACACTCCTTCCCGAAATTTAAAAATCAACAGCCCTGACCCTCACTAGCCGTGACAACTGTTGTGCTCAACTATCCCGCTGCAACAACAGGACTGATCACATCGAAACGCACAATCATAGGATACAAATGTGTGATATTTTTGTGGTACGATTGTGGTGTTTTTGGTACCAATCATTGGGCTCTCCACCACAGGAATCTCGGTCAACTTTTCGACCAAGTATATACCTTCGCGGGAAATTTTCTACCCCCAAAGAGAGCGAGAGAGAGAGAGAGGTTGTGTCACGCGACGAATCGAAAGGAAATATGTTTTTGTGAGAGTCGCAAATTCCCTTGCAGCCGGTGTAACGTCAACGTGCATGCATAGCAGCGGACGTTTTATTAAATCTGCCAGGAAGAGGAAAGTTCGAACTCGACGATCGCTATTGCACGGGTGTAACGATTTGCTTTGGCGGTATTTTCTACAGCCCCTTTTTCTTTTCTTCCTTTTTTCCCTTACCGTCGTAGTCGTGAAACCACGTCATTTCACCTCGTTTCTTGCGAACGGAGGACTGATTTTTCGACCGGATTTTCCGCGAAAATTGCCAAAGAAACAATACATTTTTTTTTTTTTTTTTCAATTAGATTGGTATTTTGGAATTTTTATTTCTCTGGACGTAATGAAACAGAAAATAATGTGTCGAAGGGGAACGAATATTTGACCAAATTCATCGCCACGATTTTATTTATCCTTTACAAGAATTTTCCGTGTTAAATGGTGACTAAAATGTACTTTTAACGCAACAAAATAATTACCTACATTTGCTATGAGAGAAAAAAAAGTCCCACGAAAATTTTGAACGAGCCAACACTGGTATGTGCACAAGATCGCGTGACGTTGTCTACAGTTTGTTACTGTGCGCGTGTCGCAAAGAGGCGGTTATGCAGATCCATGACAACGCCGGGCAGCAGAAAAGATTCCTCGCTCGAGGACGTCTCGCGCCGCGAAACTAGAAAAAGGCGTGGGAAAGCTTCCACGCCCAGCTCTCTCTCTCTCTCTCTCTGTAATTTACGTTCTTGGGGCTTTTTAACACAGTGAAATCGTCGTTCTTCCATTCCGACTCACGAAAGCGAAACGGCATTCAAAAAGGGTTGATACAAAAAAAAAAAAAAAAAGGTTTTTTTAATTTTTTTTAATTAAGCAATCTTTGAATTTTTATTGAAATATTGAAAATAATTTCTCGATTACTTTATGATGATAAAAAAAGATGAGTTCCTCCACTCTAATTTATACCCGCATGTAATCTGAACTGTTGGAAAGCTTTTTTAAACCCAAGCTTAAAACGTCGTTTACAATTTTGTTAAACCAATAATTAAAAATTTTTCAAAAGAGTCCTGACAGTTCGGGTTGCAAAAAAACCAGAACTTTTACGTAACTTTTTCGTTTTTCTTATTCTTTTTTCCTCATTTCAATCAAAACAATTCTTCAATTTTTTAATAAAATGCGATAAAAAAAATTAACAGCAATGTAAAGTTGTGGATAAAGGGCATTTTGTAGCCATATTTTTGAGAAAAGTATTCTCTTGTACGACATATTTTTACCAATTATTGTATGCCAAGTTTTAGATAAAATTGAGAAAGACAAGAAAAAGAGAAAAACGAAACAATTTCGTAAAAGTCCTGCGAAAAAATCAATGCACTATAATGTAATTTTCAAAAAAAGTGCGCCAATATATGGTACATGGTTTGATATTGATTTCGCAGTCCGGTATGAGTACAGAAGAAAGAAGAGCAGCTTCGGTCCAGGAAGGGAAAAGATGACGGTGCGCAGGCACGTCCTGCAGGTCTTCCGCAGGGCGGTGCTGGCCGGCTGCGTGCTGGTGCTCATCGTCTTTGCCCTGACCAGCCAGGACCGCTCGAGTTCCTCGCAGTCGCATCAGCCCATCAGTCCCGAGGTTCGTGCTCATTTACGTATGACACAATAGACATCGAGCTAAATTTTTTTATTTTTTGTTTCATCGGAAATGTATATGCATACACATCATCATACGGGTGTTCGATATAATTCTTAAATAACATTTTTCGAAGTTCCTGCGCACCACAATTTTTCTTTTATTTTTTTATCCTAATCAAAATTTTTATGCCACAACTTTCGAATCTAAAAAATTAACGCGCGTGCGTTCGGCGCCCATTCACTTAAATTTTATTGGATTGCATAATCATTGCAGTGTGTAAAATTTTTTCAGGGGCTTGCCACGGTACGCAATTATTCTATACTACTAGAGAAACATTTATAGATTATTTGAGGGAAAAACCAAAATTAATTTTGCTCATTTGTTTTGGGATAAATAAGTAAATATTGGCAATTTTGAAAAAAAAAACAGTTGAGAGGCACGGAGTCGAACAAAATTAAATTTGGTAAACAAATGACACCCCGATATGCTTTGTGCATCCAACAACACTCGTAAATTTGATAAATAATCGCAGTCATTGCTGTCTCATGTATATAAAGTATATATTACCCTACACAGATATACGTCGTCGCGCGTTACAATAGGTGTACCTTGCCGGGGGTAAATTCGCGCTGATTTGTAGCGACTGTAACGACGTGCCACGCGACGCACGAAATATATTACACCCTGAGGGGCGCGTACTTTTGCAAGGGCGGAAAATTAGTTTTAGGGCGAGTTACGCCCCCCTCTCTGGGCTACATATATACTTTTACAAAGTTCGCGTGCTCGGGTGCTATCGAATGTTTTTTACACGGAGCTTCAGCTTTAGGGAAGGTACGGTTTAATCGTGTTTTTGAAAGGGATCAAGGGATTTTGCGTGCACACCAGAGCTTGGACTTGGATACTTGTGTATTTAAGTGAGAACAAATTTTTTTTTTTTGTTTAAAGCAAAGAATTGTGTTCAAAATTTTTGAACAAATGATTTTCTTGTATAATCTTTTTTATTCTTCCAAAAATTTCTGCATTTTTTTCTGGAAAACGTTTTATCCACCGATGTATCATTGGTAGTAATGGAAAAAAAAAACAAAAATTTTTTTTCAGCTCAAGCAATGACATGTATTTTCATCAGGAAAAAAATGATGTTGCACAGTACGTTTCTTGTATTCGATTTATTCCCAATACTATAGACACCATTAATATTACATAACTAAAGCTACGAAAAAAAAAAAAAATTAAAAAAATGCCCTCTGTTGTACAATACCATTATGAGGCTGAGAAAGTATTGTACATGGTATGCACGAAAAATCGCAATCGTAGGAAGACCAAACGAAAAAAAACTGTGACAATAAAAATTTAAATAAAAGAGAAAACAAAAAAAAAGGCAAGACTATTACATCGCACATTCAGCAATGACCTTCGCCAAACTGGGCTTGACGTTTGTACGAAGCGCCGCCGCACAAATACACGAACAAAAGTACATAGATTGCGCTGCAAATATATATATTTAGTTACGCTTGAACAATGCGCTGCGGGACTACATACATATATACGTGTGCCGATGACGAGGACGGACAGGCTCGTCGTCGTTTGGTACACGAGATAGTGACGAGTCGTTTAATTAAAACGAAACGCGCGAAACGAAGGACGGAGTAACGGGGAAACAGATAAAAACTCTCCCCCGCTAATAAGTAGTGGACACTGCGCATAAATCCAGTAAATGCTCTCGCGTATTCTCTCCGGTACTAGTCTTCCTTCAGCTCCACGGGCCCTTTGGTCTTCTGGACTACGTAAAATACGCGAAACCTCGGCTTTTCCCATCCGAATGCCCATCAAATTTATCGTGCACCCGGCATTTAAGTTAATTAACAACTCATTTGACGACGAACGGTGCAACGCACCCGACCGATATTATTCTTACGTGCTAAAATTTTATTTTGCTATCCCCTCTTTTTTTGTCCCTCTCGCCGGACTCTCTCGAGGTGGGGCTCGATAAATCGGCGGCAGCCTCGGCTGGCGGTGACAGCGCGGCCTCGTAAATAGAGCCGACCGTTCCGGGCGATCTGATTCCATACCGTTGGTATATATGTATAGGTATGTACATGACTCGCGCAAACAAGAGTAGTGGCAGAAAAAGTGGAGAGGAAGAAAAGCAGTATTTTGCGTGCACGAGTCCGGAGAAAAATTTTGTGACAAACAGTATTATCTTAGTCGGAGATGCAAGTGAGCTAAGATGTTGTTTGAAGAATAAAACGTTTTGATTTGCTTTGCTGAGGAAAAACGGAGAAAGAACCTGTTGTTGGTGAGAAGTAAAGTTTTGTTACAAACATCATAAAGATAATAATTGGTCATTTCTCTGGATTTTTTCGACTGATTTTGTTTTTTTCTTTCTAATAAAGACTCAAAAATACAATTTTTTTCAGTGAATATTAACTTAACTTTTTTTTTATTCGTAAAAAGATTTTCACAACAGTTATTGCTGTTTAAAAAATGCATACAAAAACTCCTAGATATTCGCGAATATGCAACGAAATATTATTAATAAAAAATGGCTGTGAAAAGTAATGAGTATAGAAATGTCTTACCAAATGATTGATGGTGGTGTATACTTCATTTGTTTAAAAGATATAAAAACTAGTAAAGGAATACGAGAAAACTTTTTTTTATTAGTCTTTGATTCCCTCTAACGTGCGTAGTGATGATGTGTTCAAACACTTTCTGCAATCAAACGCATACAGAGGAGTAGCACTTGAAAAATGGCCAAAGAAGAGCAAATGGCGCATAAATAAGACCCGCGAACATGTCTTGTTTGTGTTTGTCCCACTCTTAATTACGCACCGCGTCAATATGGCTTTCCCTGCGACTGAATTTATTTACCTCGTGGGCGTTTGTTTGCTTATCTCGTCTTTGACGCGCTAAAACACCCTCGTAGTGAAGAAGTAACGAATAATCACGAACGACACTACCGTACAGCGGCTTCAAACTTGACGATACTCTTAAAAAAACATTTCGCAAAAATGTTTACGCTCTCTCGGATCGATTCGCGAACTTGTAATCGGCCTTTGTTTTTTTTTTTCCAAACAAACATAACGGCCCGCCTCCACCAGTTTGCCAGCGTAGCACCTCGTCGTTATCGATCGGTTTATTTTTTGTCACTGAAAAAAAAGCCATTTTCGTAAGCATTTAACACACCATCGCACGAAACAAATTGCCTCGCTCGAGAGAAACCCTTTTCCCAGCTCGGGTATTCAAACAAACAACCAAAAAAAGGGTGCAGATGATATAATATATTTTTATTCCGTGGCGAGCTTGAATGGTCCCGCGGCTCTGAGCCTCGCCCGAAAAATAAAAATTAATAAAAAAAATACCGGAATGGCACAGATCACCCCCGCACCGATTTCACGGGCATCGAAATTCATCCCCCTCGAACTCAAAGCCCAAAATCCTACCGCGGGCCTCTGCACCGGGCAAAACAATACAACGCAACGTGTTTGCACGAAAGGGGTCGATAAGCACACCCAACACATGTATACACTCGCACGGTCGAGTTTGGCGCCGGGCAGCTCGCGAAAGTGGACCGTCTCGAATAACCAGGCCAGCAGCTTCCTTCTTTATTTTCGGGGAAGCGCACCCCTCGCTTCCGTCACTGCACGAGCCCCGCGGAGCTTTCACGTATCTCGGACCCCGGGGTTTCTCGAACAAACGAATCCTTGTGCTTTTTTTCCATACCAAAAGTCGTTGGGGGTCTAAATAAGTACGAAACAGGTCGCAAACTCAACAGAGCCGCAATGGAATAAATTTGCGTGCAAGTGCAGCGGTGCCGCATTATTATATAGCCTTGGGTGCGCGCACGCGACAAAACGAAGCGTTAGTCACTCGATCATTTTGTCACGATTCTCGAGCTCGACGTGATGCATGACCGTTATAATCAATGTTGCGGGGGATGCGTGAATGGGCCGCGCTGTCGAGATTGGGTTATTCCATCGCGCTCGTGTGTGTGTACGGGCGAGAGATTGAATTCAATTACACGCGACGACGAGCTTTAGCTTTTCATTGAGGCTTAGCTTTTCGGGTTGACGTTGTCGTTTAGAGATATTTTGATTATTGCGGAAACATGCGGACTTTCATTGCATATAGATAATTTTCAATTGCCATTTCTTCGTTGTTGAAAGAAGATACTCACAAACGAAGAAGCGAGTCATTTGATAATAATTTCGATGGAATTCATTGCAGGTTACCAAAATTCATCCATCTATATTTTATGAAGCTTTAAGTCAACCCGTTAAAATATAACCACGCGATTGTATACCTAAATCTAATTAAATATCATATATGAAAGGACATTATGTCGCGCGACCCATTGAAATTTCATGAGAAAGAGGTTAAAAAAAATAAAAATGCCCATTGTTTTTTTTCTTTTCTATTATTTCTCGTTTTTCTTTGTTCTGGATTTAATTATTTAAGATTTCAATGCCAAAAGTAGGGCAAACGGAATGAAATGTGCCGACTATAGCTCCCACGGCGACCCCGTGGCGGGTATACCGTGTAGGTTGAGCGATACTTATGTGTGTGTGTATTAGCACTGAATTTTTAACAGGTCAGGAGGTGTAGATGTTACATAGTGTAGCAGTAAGTATAGTATTCAATTTGCGTACACTCAAGACTATTGTTCATAGAGACGGTAGTTGGTGATAATTTTCGACCCACTTGACTGTGCATGCAAAATGATGTAGCTCTTGGATATGATTCGAAAATGTATATTATTATCATTACCGACAAACAATCAATGAATGAAAGGGAAAAAAATCTAATATTCGAAACCCACATACAGCTACTCCGAGAGAACGAAAAAACACAACCCGAACAATGAAACGGAGGTGACAACAACAAATCCGGTCGCTCCGAAACTTTTTCGCGCTGCGTATAAGACTCTTTCTCCCCTTGTTATACGTGCACACTCCACACACGTAGCTCGCACACGCGAAAACGAGGGCTCTATGCAAATA